ATAAGTAGAACAAAACTTTGGTACCAGAAAGAGCCTGCGGATTAATCAGTACAAGAAAAGACAAAAATGCCTGTCTGTAATATACAATAAAAATCATTTCAGCATTTGAATTTTGTTTGACAAAACAGACAGATCGTTAAATAAACACCATCTTCCACAGCAACTTGATCAACCTGGAACTCTTTTGCGCATTTTACTGTGAGTGGTTTCTCCTCCCTTCTGTAGAGGTTTTGAGAAATTCCATTCCTGATTCTTTACCAATAAAGCCATCGCTCAAAATGCTGTGTGTTCATACCTTCAAAATTCCTCTCAAACTATCCATACAATTTAGGAGTGAAAACTTCTACATGTTCCATGCATAGATTTTGTTCCCTTCTTTACAAGTATTTGCATGGTTATAGATACACATGCATATTTACATTAATATTTATAAAAGACTCAGTCTTCTTAAATATTAAAAGTACGACTAATGGCTGATTACTGACACTCTAATTAACCATAACGTCTTGCAATGCAGCTTCTACGGTTGGTCCCTGCATTTTTGCAAGCACGTACCATTAGTCTTTACAACTTTGTTAATTTAGACCATGAGGTAGTAATGTGGGTTACCAGCGTGTTACAAACCTATTGAGAAATTATTGTCACTCTAAACATAACAACCCAGTGTCACAGCTCATCTTCTTTGACATCTGTTTCATTATCCGCACTGAAATATGCTGAGAAATTACTTCACTCTGCAAGTGAGTTCAAAGCCAGGTCCTCGGCCTCTGTACAGCTCCTTGTTCTAACTTTTTAGACCAGTTCTTTCTTTTTTTTTAAACACACGCTTGGATTTATTAATATATCAACTTATACGCAGTTCTAAAACAGTTTCAGAATGAACTCAATGCATTTTGTTCAAAATTATTTCTTTGTATTCCTCTTATATGTTCTGTACTGAGAGTCTATTTTCACACCTTTTACCTTTTTATTGTTCAGCACAGTCTTGTGAATAAGAGACAATAGTCACAGTGGACTCAATTCTGATTTAGAAATGGATTTCACCTGTAATCAGTAGAGGAATTTTTGTTTTGTCGTGGCTATTATGAGTTTCTTCAGTTGAAAACAATTTAATAGCTTAGACCATAGCCTAGGAAATACATATTTTATCTTTAGCCTTATTTTACTAGTGTTTATACACATTTGTGGAGAGATGCAGAAAGAGACGGGGTGATAAACGGAGGGAAACAGAAGGACTGAGATCAACATACTAAAGTCAGAAAGAGACTTAGAGGAATATATTCCTGATGAAAGGGGAGAGATATGGGGACAGAAACATGGAATCAAATATTACTGTCAGAGACATAAATAAATTAGTGCTGAGCTGGAGAGAATCAAATACGGAGAGAGACTTAGATGTTACCCTACATGACAGAGATGTAGATGAGACCCCAGACTCTCTCTACGTGTCTATACGTCAATCAACACACCATTGCCATGCCTAGAAAATAGAACAGTCCCTTTTCTGCAGCCATTCTCAGAAACATGTGTACCATTCATAAAAATAAATGACATTCATTCAAGTCAAATGTAGAACCCTTTATGAGCTTCTTCCGCCTTTGTTAATCATGAGTAATACAGCATAATTGTTTATTTTCTGCTCTCACTTAACATCTTTACAGATATCCATGACCAGAACAGTAAGAAACCGGTTATGGTCTATATCCATGGTGGATCGTACATGGAGGGTACCGGAAACATGATAGACGGGAGTATCTTGGCCAGCTATGGCAACGTGATCGTCATCACCATTAACTACCGCCTGGGGATATTAGGTAAGCTGCTCTGACTTGCAAAGGGCGGATGAAGGGGCCTCCGATCAGGTCGGCTTCATAGTCAACGTGCTGGTGGAACGGAGCGTGTGCAAGCGTTCATCAAGCATACCTATTGACATTGCAGAGCTTGTTTTGCTACGAGCTACAGATGGGAGGCTCTTGGTATTTGCTTCTCGTCTGCTTTTTACATGCCTGCCGTTTTATTGCTCCCGAGGTGGAACTGCTTTCGAAGACATCGGGTGGAATTTGGCTCAATGCATGTCTTATTGATTTGAGCGAAATGGATATTTGGTGGATACAGTTGTGAATCGCAGTGTTGAGAGTGTGCTTGTGGGTACTAACCATCCACAGCACCTTCCATTGCTGGGTGTGTGGTTGTATTAATCAATTTGCGGAGTGTAGGTAGTCTGCATTGATTATATCGCATTATGTATTTATTTCCTGCTCATGGTGCTGGTTGTATGATTGAATTAATCAACTTGTGTGTGTGTATGTGCGTGTGTGTATATATAATATATATGAGTTTACACATTTTATATATATAAATATATATATAATGGCTGTAAAC